GCAAGCCAGCACAGCTGCTCACATGCGACAGATGAGGAAGCTAAAGCTGGGGCAGGGGCAGCGATCTGCCCAAGGCCACATGGCCGGGACCCTGAACCCTGTTCTCTCCCCCTGTAGGAAGGACCTCCAGGAACACCTTCCTAAAGCCTCCAGCCAGCTCTGAACTTTCCTGTCTCTGATTTCTTCCAACTGAAGATCCAGACCCCGACTTCGGGAGGGCAGCTCTCTGGGAGCCCTGTTTCTTAAGGACAGATCTGGACAACTTCCTCCAGCTGCCCCTACACCAAGTCAGAGCTAGAACCAGGAATCCAGCTAGAACCAGAAAACCCAGGAATCCAGGCCAGGGGTTCTCAGGGCCTCAGGAGCCCACCTAGGGGCCTCTCAGACAGCACAGACCAGCAAGGCTTTAGCTCTCCATTCTTACCCCGTGTCCAGTACTGCAGACACCCTTACCATGACATAAGGCCAGGCTCTACAAACCACCTGCCCAGCATCTTTCTAGAGAAATAGGGAAACTGAGCCCCAAAGGGGGCAGAAGCCCAGCCTAAATCTGAGATCACTGAATCCAAACCCCTAAAACCCAATTAACTCCTGCCTCTGCCACCACAGATAAGAAGATTGACCCAGAAAGGTAAAGTGAACCCCAAGGTTACACAGTAAGGACTGGCTCTTGCTTAGCTGGGACCCCTCCAGGGTACCCTCTCACAATGACACAGCACTGGGAGACCTAAGGCAGGAGAGAGGGGTGGGTTCTGAGCGACAGGGTCCAGGAGATCGAAGGGCCCAGTGGTGCTAATAAGCAGGCCCGAGACACTGAAGCCATCCTGGCCTTGGAGTCTCAAGGACCTGGGTTCTGATCCTGCCTCAGCCACCTTCAAGTTGTTTGACTACACAAGTGAATTCCTGCCCTGAACGAACCTCAGCTTCCAAATCTGTTCAATGGAGTTCACAAGACACTTGTGACGATTCAGTGGAAATACATGAAGAAAACCCCTGGCCCTGTGACTGTCTCCACCATCCCCATGACCCTTTTGAGTCCCATAGACCATTAAGAGTAAGAAGGGTCCTTGGAGATCCCTGAGATGATCCCAAATTTCACAGGGGAAGAAAATGAGGTGCTGAGAGAGGACAGACCTGAGCACTAGCCTAAGAGCTTGGAACCCAGGAGGCTGTGGCATGGAAGCAGGTGGACAGTGAGACAGGTCAGAGAGGGGTCACCAAGCTTTCTCCAAAGGGGAAGAGGAGCAGTCATAGGACAGGAAGTCAGAAGAGATAGGTCCCCACTGCTCAGCTTCCTGTGGCAAGAGGAACCTCAGGTTCTCAGCCATGCTCCCCCAGGAGACCTCACACCCCTGCTCCAGCCAAGGCCCTCAAGGCTCCTACTCATTGGGACCCACTCCTGCCTCAGTCATTAGCCTGTGAATATCCGCCTCATGCAGTGGGCAGGGAGCCATCTGGAATTGTCAGTCTCTCTCCACCCTCTGGAGGTCTGGCCACCTTCTGCTCTCAGGTAGCTAGGTGCACAGCAGGATCAGAGAGCCTGAGCACGTGAGCATCAGGGTAGGACTGGGCCGGCCATGCCATGCCATGCCATGCCATCTCCAGCTTTCCGTCCCCTGTGCCTCATCCCTCTCCATGGGACCCAGCACAGGTACTGAGTCTAGAGGCTCTGGGAGCCAGGAGAGCCCCATGGCACAGATGGAGAAATAGCCCAGAGAGGGCAGGGATGTGCCCACAGTCACACACAGAACATAAGAACACCATAACCAGGACTGGACCTCAGCCCCTTCTCCCGCTGGCCCTGCTCGAATAAATGACAGCCCCCTGGTCGCCCAATTCTCTCCTCTACAGCAGCTCTGAGGAAGCCTAGCCTGGGCACTGAGAGACCTGCAGTCAGGTGCCCAGAAGCCTTCTGCCTTGGGCCCAGGATCCGTGTTCAGCATCGGCCTTTGGGACAAGGCCTGACCTCACAGAAGGTGGTATCTGCCTCCTCTTTGGTGCTCAGAGCACTGTGCAGGCCTGGGACCAGGCCAGACCAGAGGGAGGGAAAGGGCAGAGGTGGCCTCCAGCAGTTCTGTCCCTCCTTCTGGCTCCAAATGCTGGACCAGAGCCACAGTGACTTCCAGGAACCTCTGGACACAGGGGTAGGGAGAAGGTAAGTCTGGGGGAAGCGGGGTGAGGTAGAGAAAATCAATCAGGTAGGCAGCTAGGTGGCTCCTCCCCCACCCTAGATTCACGTGCGCAGGGCATGTCCAGTGGGCAGCTGCCATTCCCAGGTCAGGGGGCAGACCAAGAACCGGCGGTGGGGAGTGGGGAGCTCAACAAATACCTGTGGTTGAGTTCCAGTCTCCTGAAGTGACCCAATCAGTCCTGGGAACTCTGGCTTCAGACCTGCTGTGTGACCTTGGCAAGCCACTCCTCTTACTGGGCCTCAGCTTTTTAATTTATCAACAGGAATAGGATGATGAGAACACCATGTCCTTCAAAGAGTTACCGATGGGGTCAAATGCCAAAATGTTGACGAAGATGTGAGCCCAAGTGGACAGAGGCAGGGGCTCTGGAGCCAGGCTGACCTGGGTTCCACTTCTACCTTAGCTGCTGTGTGACCTCAGGCAAGTGACCTCACCTCTCTCAGCCTCAGTTTCTTTGTAGCTTGGAGATATGCTTACTACAGCCCAGGACTGGTCTGAAGGTCAATCAGGCAATGCAGATAAATGCTCGACTCAGAGCAGCGGTTCTTACCGGAAACAAGATTCCTGGAGTCTTGGGGATGGGGGAGCTTGGAGACCTCTGCCTGTCCCCCAGAGCTCCACGTGGCTGTGCTGAGGGGATCTGAGATCACCTCCCTTCCCTGAGCCAAGGCCCAGCACCCTCCTTAGGCCCCAGCTCTGCTCACCTCCTGGCCCCAGCCCCCTTCACTGTGGGGAGCACAAAAGAGAGAACTAGGCAGGGAGGCTAGCGATCTGGGTTCCAAGCCTGGCTTGGCTGGGGCTTGGCTGTGTGAGCCTGGGCTAGCCCCTACTCCTCTCTGGACTTGCACTCCAGTAAGCAGTGAATTTGAAATGGGGATTGCAAAGGCACCTCCAACCTCTGCTCAGTCTGAGAGGGAAAGAAGGTCAGGTGTACGCCCTAACTACAAGCCCACAATACCCCAGTTTTCCCAATCCCCTCTACTCTCAAGGAAGAACACCTAGCAAATCTGATATGGCCACAAGGGGTCTATTGTGGAGGTCTGGCTCCCAGACTCACCAATTCCAGTCCTGGACGGGGCTGGGTTTATTCATTAACCAGGCCAGATGGAGGAGGAAGCTCCACTCTGTTGACACAGAGGGTGGGAGTCCCGGGCTCAGTTCAGACTTTCCCCTTTCCTTCCTTCTGGAGAGCCAGCTTGATGGGGAGATTATGCTTCCCTACCCCATGGCACAGTCCAGCCTGAGCCTTTCCCAGGTTACAGGCAGGAAAACAACCTTTTTCTCACAACAACTTTGCTCACTTTGTATTCAATTCGTTCCTTTGTTCCTTCCTTCCTTCCATCCTTGATTCAACCAACATCCCTGCTGGGCCTGTGTTGGAGGCTGAGGACGGAAAGGATAGGATGTGTCCCTGTCCCTGGAGAGCACTAAGCTGGAACATACCAGTGGCCCTGCCCTTCCCTGCTCCTCAGACTTAGACACAGGTCCAGCTCTGGGGAAGCCCCCTGCCCAGGGTCCTCAGGCCTGGGTAGAGAGTCCCAGAAAGGGAGAAAAGGAGACACACACGGGAACTGGGAGAGAAAAAAGACAGTCAGATAGCCAGGGTGCAGACAAAGAGTCAAGAAGGGAGCAGGTAAGGCAGAACGGGTGAGCCAGGTGCCTACGTGGGGACAGATGGACAAAGCTCTAAATGACTAAGACAAAGTGAGACAGAAAGGCACAGGGTCAGACAGAGAAGGTCAGACATCTCTGGCCCTGTTATGAGGCCCTGATGCCAGAGTTAAATCCGAATCCAAGGGCAGGTCCCAGGCAGGAGGGGCTGGAGTGGGGGGAGGGCAGGAGTGCTCTCCAAGTCCAGTGCCCTGCTCCCACCTCTGCCAGCTTCCACCACAGGAATACACTTCTCCACGTGTTCGAGAAGGAGAGCAGGAAGGCTGAGGCAAGAAAGAGGGGAGGGCACACCCAGGATCCCACTGAAGGGAGACCTGCCTGCCCCGTTGAAGAGTGGCACTCACAGCAATGCCAGATGCGTTGTGTTGGAGGCAGTCACTGAGGGCTCTCATCAGAGTCTTCACTAGCCTGTTCCCCATCTAGTCCCCCAGGGGAGGTGGGCTCATGGGGTCCCAAAACCCAAGCCGGCCCTCTTTTGACAAAGAGAAGAAAATCATGGGGTTGTGAGGAGTGGAGTGGATGGCTGAGAGAGGCCAGATACGCCTGCATCTTCCCTGCCTCTGCTGGCCTACACCTTGGTCCCTCCTTCCCCAGCCTGCCGGCCCAGCCTGGCCCTGTGTGAGGCAGGGACATCTAAGCCCCGCTTTCAGGATCTGCCAGCCAGGATCCTGAGTCCCTGCAGGAGAGACTCAGGGGACAGCCAGCAGGGAAGAGGGAGGAGCAGGGCATCAGGCAGGAAGAAGTGCAGAGAGTAGGGAAAGAGACCCAGTTCAGGCTGAGAGAATCAGGAATTTGGGACTGAAGGGCTCAGTCTCCCACCTGAGATGACTTAAGTCAGGACCTGGGAAAGGCTTCAAGGGCAGAGGGCTCCCTGAAGGAGACCACTCTCCTAGGTGGGCTTGGCAGCAGTCCACCTCCCTGAGCAGGCAGCGGCTGAGTGAGTCACACCCCCTGTCTCCAGGCCTCAGCTGGCCCATCTGTAAGATGGGGGCTTGCCCAGCAAACTGTGCCTCCTGGGTTCTCACAGGAGACTCTGAGGTGCACAGCCAGGAGTCTGTACCCCTGCTGGAGGACCGGGAGACTCCCAGAGGCAGTCAGGGCGCAGTGCCGGCTGCACCTGCTGCGGGGCCACCCTACCTTGATCTTGTGCAGGGTACGATCCATCTCCACAGCCTGCACCCACACAGACACACCGGCCTTGCTGTAGGTCAGGTTCCAGCCCGCCTCGGCCTCACACTCTGACCGGAAGCTGCGGAAGTCCTGGTCGTCGGGCACCTGGACGCTGTCGCGGCCCAGGACTGGCCGAGGCCCCGGGGGCTCTGGGGAGGCAGCTGACTGCTCCATGGGGAGGCCCAGGGCCCTGGTCCTGGTCCGGCTCTCCTGGGTCCTCCGCGGAGGCTCCGACCACGTCGACGCGGCTGCAGATGCTGACGCCACCTTCCAGGGACCTGCAAGACCGGTTTGGGAACCGGAGTCAGAACGCTGCGGGTGCGCGTGCGGCTGTCCGGGGTCCTGGCAGGTAGCGAGTTCGAGAGAAGCAGGGGCTGGCCCCCTGGCCAGCGCGCACCGCCGCCACTGGGCAGTATGCCCCTCTCTCTCTCCACAAAAGCGCGACCTCAGACCGCCAGGGGTGGGAGCCGGAGTGGGGGCTGCGTATTGGGGTGCTGGGGAAGCCCGTCGGGACCCAGGGGAGGCCGGGACCCGAGGTGACAGACGGTCCGGTGGGGTCCGCGCAGCGCTGGCCGGACTGGCTCAACTAACTCGGCAGCGGCGCCGGCGCGGGAAGCGCGCGGGGCCGGTGGTGGGGGCGGGGTGGGGCGCCCGCGGGGCCGGCAGGCTCACCTGTGCCCGCTACTCGCCGGGGCCAGCCGGGGCCGGGGGTGCGAGCGCCTCTGCCGCCGCCGCCGCCTCCGCTGCTCGGGAGACCGGGGCCGCGCGGGGGTTCTGGGGAGAGGAGCAGTGGGTCCCGCCGCCCGGCCCCGCCCCGCGTCCCCCTGCCCCGCGCGCCACCCCCACCCCACCTCCGTCCCTCCCCCGGGGCTAGGCTGGGGGCTCCGGGGGCTCAGCTCGCCTGGGCTCGGTATTTTCCAGGCTGCGGAGGTACAGCTGACGGGGCTTGGAGCCCCGCCCCACCCCGCCCAGCCGGGTCCTAGCGCCCGCCCCCATCGCCCCCGAAGAGGACCTGGCCGGACCAGTCCTCAGGCAGGGATTGAGGAGGGTCCAAGATAGATAGGGCTCTGAGAGGAAGAGCGAGGCGGTGCTAGAAGGGGGATTCTGGAAGTTAATTGTGAACCCTTTATCTCCAACACCCTCCCACGCTCACAGGTACACACCTCTGCAACAGCCTACTTAAGACACACAAGCAGCTGGTCCTTAGAACCACCCAGAGACATCCCCACACCACACCCCTGAGACCCAAAGATGGGCACACTCCCACCACAGTCAAGAACCCACAGCTTGTCTCCCCCACCAACCACTGGCCTCAAGGTTCACAAGGTGGCTAGACTTGGACAAAATCTCCACTCCCATCACACTCCCCGCTGGGAGCTTTAATCCTCCTCCAGTCCGGGACTCTGGTCCTTGTCCACCCCCAGTCCTCCTGAGCACCCCTGTACGTATTCACACACCTCCCATGGATTAAACTAGGCTTTCCAGAGCATCTGGCTCCGGAGCTCTGGGGCTCCCTGGCCCTCCCCAGGCAGAGCTGGCCAGAGCTCCACAGCCAAAGGGGAGATATGTCCACCAGCACTCCAGCCACCCCTTCCAGCCAGAGCGACTGCTACCTGCCCCCTAGGTCCTAGTGCTAGCTCTGTCTCCCGCTGCTCTGTGTTAACTGAGGCCAAAGCTCAATTTCTCTGAGGCCAGGCCAATCAGTGTGGCAACAGGCCCAAGGCTGAGCATTCACTACCCGAGTGACTAGGGAGGGCTCGTGGTGCGCTCCCCTGGATGGGCAGCTAATAGGGCACAAGTGCCCCATCACTTGCCCAGGGTCATCAGTGAGGACATGGCCATCCTGCCAAGATCCCAGATCTCAGCCGCCTCCCACCCCAGGGTTCCTTCCTTGGCTCTGGCTGCCCCATCTCTCTGGGCCTGAGTTTCCCATCTGTAGAATGTGAGCATCCGAATGTATAACCTCCTAGCCTCACCATCCTGGAGTTCTAGGATGGAACAGCTTTTCTTAAAGGTGCTAGAGAAAGATGAGGAGTTGTCACGGTGGATTCATGAATAGAGGTGTTTCTTCCTCAGGTGCTGAGGGCTCTGAGACATTTGTGAATCAGGCCCGATTTTAACAGTCGAGGGGGTGAGGAGGGAACTGTGATGGCAGGTCTCCCCAAGGGGCATGCTGCAAAGTAAATCTTGTAAAATGAGTTGCAGGTCCCCACATGACCTTGGATCTCCAGTGTGAGCAGCACAGTCAGATAATCATCCTTGGCCCTTCTAACCCACGTTCTTTAAGTGTGTGGTAGTGGGTGGCCTGGGGGTGGGCTCTGGGTTCAAGAGGCCAGGGCTCTGGCTCTCTGCTGTACACATCCTCTGCCTTCACCGCAGCTGTAGGCAGTTCACTGCCCATCCCCTGGCTTCAGTAGTTTTATCTGACAGCCTCATACCGAGGCTGATGAGACTCATAAGAGGGGTATACAGAGACGGCTTTGTGAACTGTAGCCTCTGGGATCTGCCATGAGGAAAAGGGAGAGGAGCACTGGCCTGGCGGCTTCTGCCTTTTTAGGGCCCCAGTAACACACATCAGCTGACAGCAGGCACCAGGACAGTACACCTCTCATCCCCATCGCCTAGTCCTGGGAGGAAGAGATAAGGCTGAAGTGACAGCAGGAGATAGCAGTGAGGACAGGCTCACAGGACTTCTCCACCCTCGAGAGCACTGCCAGTCTGAGACACACAAATTCAGGGAGGTAGAGATGGCAGAAATCAAACCAGCACTCAAATCCAAATATAGATTAACCAAGAATGAGTCTTTTGGGTCTTGGGTCAGAAAAGGTGGGTGACCTGGTACCCTTGGGATCAGGTGGCCATGCCTTGGGCTCAACCCTGCCTGCAGGTTTAGGCCAGGCTGGCTGGAGCATAAATCCTCATTCATCAACAATTTGCCCTTGCAGGCTCTCCCAGTCCCCCAGGAATTTAGGTATCTCTGGCTCAAAGGTTCATAACAACCGCCCAAACATGCTTGGATCAAAGCATATTCATATCCAGTCTCAAACAACCCTGAGCGGCAGAGAGAAGGCTAGGAGGGCTGGGATGGAGGACCTGGGGGAGGAGCCTGGAGAGGAGTCCTAGGACTTGTCGATCCCTGCTTCCCACAGCCTGGAAGTGCAAAGTGGACCTGGGTTCAAATCCTGTTGATACCATTTCCTAAACGTGTGACCAAGAGCAGGTGACATGTCCTGTCACCTGAGTTTCAATTTCCTCATCTAGAATAATAATACCTACTCTCTTGAGAATTATTGCAAGGAAAAGAGTTGTATACATGTTGGTTTCACCCCAAATAACTAAAAATATAAATTGGAAGGGGAAAGGTAGGGAGGAATAAATACACTGTTCAAAAATGGCATATTTCCTGCAAAAAGTGTTAAGGAAATACCTTGATAGGATGGTTGTTAAGGTTCTCGTGAAAGAGTAAACAGTGCAAAAGGTTGGCGAAGCACGACCCTGTCTGACCCCTGCAGTCCCTGTCCCAGTGCTCCTCAACAGAAAGTGGATTGGGTGGAAGTGCCCTTCCAGGCCCCAGCCCCAGGATGGGGACAGCACCAAGCAGGACTCAGAGTGGGCATGGAAGGCAGGAGCGTGTATGAGAAAGAGAAGGTGCTTAGCAAGCTGAGAGGCATCATAAGAATGTGAGGAATCATGACCCAGGGTGCTGAGCAAGTGCAGGTTTTACACGTTTCCCTCACAGAGAGAGAAGCTGAGGTGTAGGAGGCATAGGAACGCCCCTGAATCAAAGTAAGACAGAAGCCATCTGGGGACCACAACTACCTAGTAGGGCTCCCGGAATGGGGTGAGGGGTTGTTTGGAGATATTCACACCTGTTCTTGCTCACTGACCCCTGCCAGCTGTTGGAACAGAGTCAGGACACCTGCCTGGAGCCATCCATGACCTGGTCCATAACACTCCTCTCTCAATTCCCCTCTCTGAGTTCCCATCAGGACTAAAGACCTATAGACTAACATCATCTGGCTGCAGCCCCAAACTGTACAGATGGAGAAACAAAGGCCCAAGCAGCAGAGTCAGAGCACAGATAAGATCTTAGGTCTCCCAGCTCCTAACCCAAGGCTCTGTCCCTGCTCCCCACTACATGCCACCCCCTTCACTACCCTGGGGGTGACCTTGGGGCAGTCACAACCCTCTTTGCTTCAAGATTCCTCCCCTGCCCAAGTGTCCTAGACAATGAGGGGCTACCAGGTCCTGACTTGCTCCTGGTGCTCCCTCCTACTCACCATCTAGTCAGACAGATGGATGGCTACCTCGATCTCCCCTCTGGGAGATGAGGAGAAGGCCTCCCTGACCCCTGCTTCCCCCAGCTCCTCTCCTCTGGGGTAACCGGCCTTGCCAGTTTGGATGAGAAAATTCCCAAGTTGCCTAGGGGGACGAGGCAGTATCCTGGGGGCACCATTCTAGAAGACTGAGCAATGATCTGTGTGATGTCACCAGGAAGCAGCAGAGAGGTGATTCCAGAGGCCCCCCTGGAAGGGCTGAGGACAGAGCACTCTGAGGCCCCCAGGGCTGGCATGGCCTTGAGGGATGTGTCCTTTACAGTTTGATGGCAGGCAGCAACAGGTTCAGCACCCTAGTCCCACCTGGAGCCGGATCTGAGTGTTTGCCCAGGGTGGGTCTCCTACCCCTGCTGGGCCTCACTGAGCAAACAGCTCAAACACTGCCCTGAGTGAGCTGCTAGAGCCTGAGGGAATCACAGAGAGGCACACAGTCAGAGTTACCCACACCCCTTCTCCTGCTGGTGACGCTGTCACAGCCAAGTGCTGTGATAGGGACAGAATAGAGAGACAAAAATAAGTGATTAAACAGTTAATCCCATTAGGGGATTATAAGTAGAAAAATATGGGAAACTCCTGTAAATTAATGATTAATCGAAAAAGCAGGTTTGCTTAACCACAAAACTAAGCAGGCTTGCTTAGCAACAAAACCATGCAACAGAAGCACAGGACATGCCCCCAAATAATAAAACAATGGTGGCAGGAGACCTACATCCAGACCAGTGAGCTCAATAAGTTAATGACCCCCAAAACAGGCTCTGTGCACACACAAAAAAAACCCATCATTTATGGGAAGGTGACTTTTTGAAATGAAAGACCCTCACTGTATTGAGACCTGAAAATATTTTTCGAAAGTGCTATGACAGTCCTGGCCTAACCATATGGGGAGGGACAAGTAAAGTTCCCTGCCCTGTCTGGGGGAGGAACTGATGATGGAAATGTCACGTCTACTCAAGAGGGACAAAGAAGGTCTTCTCCCCCTCCCTACTTTCCCTTTGATTATAAAACTGTAGCCCACTAAGTTCTGGGGGCACTTCCCACCCACCTGCTTGTAAGCCTCACAAGGGTCTTATTCTCATAAATCACTTCTTATCTACAACTTTGCTCTTGCTGACTACTTCTCCACGCTGACATAAAAGACTATGGTATCGAAGCTTTTTGGAGCCCCGTTGAAATGATACCAATTGGTTTCGTGATCACACCCATCTCCTGTCTCAGTCCACACAGCCACATAGCATCTCAGTCTCATGCGTGGGAGTCCAACAGGGGCACACTGGCTTGAGCACGGCAGGTCACCCAAGTAGGGCTGCCAGATAAAACACAAGACACATCCTGAAACTTGATTTTCAGACGAGGAAAATCATTGTTAGCATGTTTCAAATATTTGCTAAAACTGGCAACCTTACACCTGGGGCCCTGTCATACCCACATCACACAGCCTCAAAGAGCTACACACCAGTCCCCTCACAGACCTCAGTCTCTTACCTGCCCTGGAAATGCGGTCAGCACCTGGGTTACAGCTGTTGTGTGCACGTGTGTGTGCACACACGTGCGCGCACACACACACACACACACACACACAAACGGCCTGGCACATCCTTTCTGTGAAGAGGTCCTGGGGCAGAGTAAGAGTCTACCACACTCATTTTGTCTAACCTTCACAATAACCTTAGGTGGAAGGTCATGCTGGGACTCCTTAGCCCCATTTGAAAAATGAGGAAAATAAGGCCCAGCAAGAAACAGAACCTATCCATGGTATCCCCACGTGTGATCTCTGGCAGGGGGAAGAAGGGGTACAAGGGAAGTCTTGTTACATCTGGGCCAGGCTGTGTCCCCGGCAGGTCTGAGCTCCTCAAGCAGGCCTGTCAAAGGAGCCTCTTCCCCCCAGGAACAATAGCCTAGGGGTTTGGGGGTGGGCCCTCTGACCCTTCCCCTATTCAAGGGTGATACTAATAGCTCCCCCAGAGGCCCCACTAATTCCAGGAGGTGGAAACTGTTCTGTCAGGGCACTGCAGGTTCAGCTTTGAGATGAAAAAATATGAAGAAACCAAAAGAAGGAAGGTGTGGGGGCTTCCAGAAAAGAAGGCGTTGTCCCAGGGCTGGAGTTCTTGCCCTGGTAAAAGAGCCAGACAACCTAGTCCTCCCCAAAAGACACATAAAGACACCTCCACCCCCACTGCCACCCAGCCTGAGCACAGAGCTGAAGGGAGGGCCTGGGGTCAAGCAGATGGATCAAGAGCCTCTGACAGAGAACTCCAGGGCTTTCAGAAGGTTGCATTGACCCAGCAATCGAACTGGGTTCCTGCAGGCAGCAATGCCTAACAGACATTAGCAGGAGAAGGAGCAGGCCTGCAGAGGGGGTGCTGGCTATCTGGGTCTGGGGCCCTCCCAAAGAGGGAGTCTCCATGGTTCTACTCTGGGCCCACTGACTGTGGGCAAGGCCCGGCACCTTATCTGGTCTGTTTACCTGCTGAGGTGCTTAAGATGCCTCTCTCCTGGCCTGGGGCATCTGGGTGGGCTCTGTAAACTGTGGACTCCTGCATGGTGGGGGGTGCATGCAGTAGAGCTCTGTTAGTCTCTTCTTTCCTCTAAGCCTAGGAGCACCCTGGGCATCAAGACCCTGCAAAGCCCAGAGAGAAGCTCCCAGTCCCTGGAGGACTGGGAGGGAAGGACAGGAGAGGAGGCAGCACAGACAGGGTAAAACACCCTGCTCAGCAGTCTAGCATAATGGCTAAGAGCCTGGGCTAGGGAGCTAGGCCGTCTGGGTTAGAACCTCTTACTGCATGATCCAGCATAAGTTACTTAACCTCTCTGTCTTGGTACTCCCATTTCTATGAACAAGTAGGCTAGTGGGACTTACATCATTGCCTCCGGGATGAAGTGAGATCATGCACAAGGAGAACTTAGCACGGTGCCTGGCAAGCAACAATCACTCAATAAACACCACAGCTACTATCAATTCTTGTCTCCTAAGCTCCCTTACCCCAGGTCTGGCAGCTGTCCCCAAGGCATAGCCTCTTTTCTAAGTCTCTGCTCCTTGACCTGGTGGCAGGGCCTCCCTCTTCTGACCTGGAGAAAAAGAAACAATCTAGGTTCACCTGGAACCTGGAGGGCTGAGAATAGAGCATTATAACATCTTGTCACCCCTCCTCACCCCAGTTCCTAACAGAGCTACAAAGGCCTGGAGGGGTCCCCTTTGGGAGGCCTTCACTCAACGGCATGAGCGCCTCGCATCCACACAGCCCCCTTCTCAGTGTCTGACAACAGTGCCCCAGGAGAGCAGCAGGCCCCAGGGAGCCTGGCTGTGCCCAGCCAGCAGGCAGGACAGTCCTGAGATGTCCACACCCCAGGGGTTGGTGTCTAGGACCCTTTGAAGGGCTCGTGTGGGGAAGGCTTGCTAGGAGCTCTGTCAGTGAGTGGGGCTGAAGACTGTTCCCTGGGTCAGGGTTCATCTTGAGGTCCAAACTTCGTCCCTGGGCCAGGCCTAGAAGAAGCCCAGCTTTCCTGGGGCATTGCTGTGTTGGGGACTCCTGCCAACCACTGCCCTCTGCCCTGATGCACTGGTACCCCCAGTTAGTGGGCATCTCCACGGTGCTTCCCCGGGGGCGGCTGCCTCCTTCAGCACCTTCTAAATTTAGGGCTTGGGCTCTGTGACTCATTACTGAATCTGCTTTGCTACCCTCCTCCAGGAGTGTGCTCCCACGGTATTTTTATCTTCTGCTGCCTCAGACTGATTAATAAGGCCCTAGAATCCTGCAGCAGCCACACACACACCACTGAGAGCTCCCCAGTCTACCCACCCCAGCTCGGCTCTGGACTGCTCTCTGACCAGGTCCTCTACTCCCCTTTCCTTTACCTGTCTGTGCACCCACCCCCACCCTGCTATGCCCCAACCCACAACGCACCCAGGTGTCTACATCTGGCTCCAAGTGTGACTGCAGTGGCAGAGGGAAAAGAGAGATGGAGCCTGCCCCCTCCTAACCAGCTGCCAGGCAGAGCCCTGGCCGAACACCAGGACACCTGAGTTCTGGCCTAGACCCCCACCCCCGACCTTACTGTGGGGCTCTGGGTGAGCTCGTGGCCTCTCTGGTCATCTCTTTCTTTCTCTATAAATAAGGGGTTTGAACCAGACCTCCACCAGGGTGGCCTGGACCAGAGCTGAAAGTACCAGTGGACTAGACCGCCACCTTCAAACAGGGTGAGCTGGGGGTAGGGTATCTGATATTGGGCCCTGTCTCCCACCAGGTGCCTCTCTGTCCCCAGCTCCTGCTCTGTTCAGGGGACACACACAGGTCAAGACCCTGCTGTCAGCCTTTTGGGACTTCTGCCCTGCAGGGAGGAAGGGTCATGGTTCTGGTCTCACTGCCCAGGGCTGTACTGTGCAGCTCTGGGCAAGAATCACCTTAACTCTGGACCCAGGTCATCAGGAACATGAATCACATGTGTGTGGAGGTGTAAATGCTCCCTGCCAGATTCCCAGTGCCAGAGGGAGAAATGGGGATCCGAAGGCCTCCCACCCCTCAACTTTCACAAACACAGGCTGCCTGGGTGCAGAGTGGAGGTATCTGGGAGGCAGACAGATCAGGGGTGGTGGCATCTCCACCCCTACCAGACTCTGGGAGAACCCTATCTCCAGCTGGCCTCCACCTGTGTTCATGAGTAACAAAGAGCGGCTAACAGTTACTGAGCCGGTACCATGCGCCTAGTGCTATTATATGCACTTAACAGTTCTTAACTCATTTAATTCATAGTTACACCTCAGATAGCCCTGGATACGGCTTACCACTCCCACTTTAGAGACAGTGAGGCTCAGAGTAGGGTAGTGACTCACCAAGAATCACAGCATTAAGTCACTGGGAGGGCAAATTAAAAGCTGAGTCTGATTGCAATCCTGGCTTCTGTTTGTACCCTAAGGTAGCTCTTCTCAGTGTATACATTAGACACTCAATAAATGTTTGATGAAGATGTTTGATCACTGCCATGTCATGGAAAGATCCCTATCCTAGTAGTCCAGTTTTACGCCAGCTCCTTGTGTGTCCTGAAGAGAGTCTTTTCTTCCGTTAGCCTCAGTTTCCCCTGCTGAAAACAGAGAC